TTTTTGCTTTTTTGCTCTTTTTCTTCATCCCCTTCTCTTTTCTTTCCTCTCTCTTCCTTTTCGTCTTCTTCTTCTCTTCTTTTATTCATTTTGTCTCGATATGAATATGTCGCAATATCACTTGATATAGCATAGCATTCCGGGCTATAGACTGCGGGTGATATGCATGCATAGCGGGCCTATGCTGAGCCGAGCATGAGGAGTTGGAGCCGAGCTACTATACTGAGAGTTGGTCGTCTGGTTCAACCATAGATTTTATCCACTTTTGTTCCTCTTATTGAATTTATCTTACTATCTTTATGTTTCCAACATGAGCCCTCTGTGTCTGTTGAAGACGTCGACAGTTGTTCAATCGACGCTGAACTTGAGTCTACCATGCAACAAGCAACTCGACTGCTCATGGTTGGGATTTGATTTCCTACTAATCAAAAACATGCAGTACTACTTACCTAGGACTAGTCAGATCTTCAGCATAAAAGGGGATTATTCTCGACCTGGCGGAAACAATAGATCGAACTGGAAAGGATAGCTAAGCTCCACCTATCATAGAACCCGGATTTGACCACAAGGAGGTCGGTATTCTCGGTTCAATCTCCATTGATAAGAACAATAAAAAGAAACAAAGCATGAATAATGAAGATCGCCATCCAAATCCCAATCCCAATCCCAATTTCAACCGAACAAAAGCTCCATATTCCATGCCAAAGAAAAACCATCAAAAACCGTTAATCCAAAAAAAAAGTGACCAGAGGAAGTCTGCCTCCACGCTCAGATGCTAGGTTAATAGGTAGTGGTAATGGTGGCGGAATTCCTCTCCCGCCGGAGCTTGTCGGCGATCCACAGCACTAACGTTCAGACTACAGTAGGTTTCCATAGAATGGCTATTACCCCTTATGGACCGTGCTTGACTCGGAAAACGGCTTTCTATTAACGGGTCGACCAGTAGTGTTAGTAGTGTTGGTCCCGCCTCGGGGAGAAATGGAACGAGCCGTTAGTTACTAGTGTATGATATGGGCTGGAGTCTGGGGCCAAAATCATAGGAGTATAAATGGTACTGTCCGTGGGACAGCCTTAATTTGGAATTCCGGGGCTAAAATGTGGAAAGAACATGGACAGGTCGATCCACGCTGCAGCTCGTACCTTGTTAATACTCAGCTACCCGGGTAAACTACTAGCTAGGCAGGAGGTCTTTGTCTTAGTTTCTTTATTTAATATTGAGATAATTCATTGTTTGATTGAGGTACCCACTGCTCCCTATTAATGCTCTGAATATATCCCTGAATATATTTTTCCCCTGGTTCTACCTAGTCTAAGCGAGTCTATACTTCCATTTTCATTGGTTAGGTTTGACGGATACTACTATATATTGTTAGGTCCTACGTTCCTGATAGTAACTTAGTATTGTCTTTTTATATTATCCCATGTTCAAAAGTATGGGGAGATTGACTACATCTGAAATCTGGGATCTACAGTGCGTTTCATACCAATTAATCCTAGACTTCGAGAGGAGATTGCAGCTATTACCTAGTGCTAAGTACTAGTCAGGGTCATGACTCAAAGGGATCGTCATTACTTGGAAGCATAGCGGCATGATCTGCTAGGCGGGATGCTCCCCTTTTATTATGGTGCACTGCCGTTTTATACAGCATGTATAACTGGATGCTGTGTCCTGAGGGAGCTTCCCCATGATACCTAATTGCATCGGATCTACTCAGTACTAAGTAAGTGCTCTAGAAAGGTGGATGGTCAGCTGAAGAAGGTACCTAGGCGACACAGATTATTCTCTACAGTATCATAGACTACTAAGTACTATGTAGAAGAGAAAGTGACCGCGTTAGGGCTACGTGCAGCTTATGTACCAAAAATTAGTACATTGTCTACGCTTCTCCACCGTATAACTTGTGCGTTGAGTGTCATGATCGCTCGTGAAGACTCTGCCAATTAGCTCACATGTTCACTATTCATATTCACTATCTCAATACTAGATGATAATCAAAGGACAGACCCCGGTGTTGATATGTAGACAGTGATCATCTTTCTCTGTGATTACACGTGGGCTTGTCCATCTGAGTTGTTAAGTTATCTATACTAGGTACTAGATTGCATTATCTTGACTTTCTTATCTACAAAGAACAACAATCGCAGCTGACAATATTGCTTGTTATGGATCTCAATATTAGCCATTGCTAGAGGAATAAATTAAGCAAAGGCACCTGGGTATGTATTTACTATCACCAGCTGGGGCTAGCTCTATTAACACAAATTATTTGTATCTTCGACTCCAAGCATAAGCGGTGACTGTACTGATTGTCATCAGTGCTATTGCAATACTCGGGGGACTATGCATCCGGGGCGAAATAACCCCATGTAACTCTGATAGCAATTTATCAAGTGCCCAGAATTGCCTGACAGGCTCATCATCAAGTTCGACAAAATCTAGCTCCTTGTACAAGTCGTAGGCGGAGAGATACGCACCCTGAGTCCAACACTTCTCAATGATCGAGCCAAGCCAAATCTCGTTAGTCCTGGGAAGGCCTTCCCTTGGTGGCCAAACACCACGGGTAGCATCTGGCGGAGCGGATTCCCAAATATCAAATTTGCACTTGTCCCCGACAATCACCTCGTACATCACTGCTCCTAGCTGTTCGATGTCGGTCTGTATCGAATACCCCCCGTCAACCGTCTGCATGCAAGTGCTAAGTGGCAATATGGTCGACTCGGTATAACCACAGAAACTAATTGATAATTCCGAGTCAAGCAGGAAGTTCCGACTAGCAATATCCACCACAAGAATCCTGCGATCATGGATCCGAGCAAGAGCACGAGCCATTGTGCGGAACCACCGGAGCTGAAGAGACTTGGAGGCTTTATTCTGGCCCAGATAACAACGCAGATCCCCATTTTCCATGAGCTGGAGTTGGATAGAGGTTTTGGTGAAACCTAGACAGGGGACCACGCCAGCGCACTGTCCTAGGCGCTGATAGATGGGCTGCTCATGCTGAAGACATTCGATATTCGCTTTCATTTCGTCGTCGCTGCTTGAACTCCACCTGAGGGGTAGTTTGACGGCAAGGTTTCCTTTCCGGACGACTAAGCCAATTCTTCCCATCCCAAAGATTTGCTCCTGTGGAAAGCACCCGATGGGATCAACATGATATGCAGATGTCATTGATTATGTTCGCTGCGAGGTCTTCGGGGTATAGATCCGTCTGGGGGTAGGAAGTGACCTATTTGAGTGTTGCTTATTGGATTTAATAAAAGTGCCTGCCACACATACGGAGTGGGAGAGCATAATACAGACGTGACTGCGACGTGATTTACCCAGAACGCAGGGATCTACCGGAGCAGTCGATAGGTCCACCATCTAACCCTAACCTTAATCGCCGACGGAAAACCGGAAATTCCACCAGTGATCCTGTTGATTCGCCGTTGTTCTTTTTGTCATCTTTGGAGGTGGGATTAGTGTAAATCGGTCGTTTGGGCAATCCCCCGCTTGGCTGGAGTCAAGGGGAGTCGGAGTCGTGTTACAACTGTCAGTCTTACATGTGCACTGTGACCATTCAAGGGAATCCTTGTCGGACTACATTTGGTGCAACCTCCTCAGATTCCGATTCCCCCGAGTATCGAGGGGAGCGGGTTGTGCAGTCAGTATTAGGATTATGGGCTTAGTGTGTCTTCAGATAATATCTAAATATTACAGACCCTGCGGGATCAAACACATGGTCTTCATCTCACGTTAGCTCTAGGTGTATTAAGAAGCAAGAAGCTGATAGTAGTAATAGCAGGATGTAAGGCCCTGCAAGCCACGCAAGGTCCATATGGAATCGTATAGAAAAGCCACGTCAGTTGGACGGGGTTTGGCCAGAGAGAGTTGCCCTAAGTCATGTGCATATCATTGGTAGACATGCAAACTATACCTTGAAGCTGAGGATGAATAGACTAAAAAGGGAAAAAAAAGAGAAACGAAAAAAAGATATAGAGAAACAGAATAACAAGCAATCAAAAAAAAAGTGCTGTATGCCAAACCAGCTGATCAATATTCCACAGCTGCAAGGGGAGTAAGCAGTTGGGAACCAGAGAAGAGAATCAGCCATGATAAAGTGAGTGATAAGCATAATAAGAGGGAAGATTCCCCGCGGTTCACCTGAAAAGGCAGTTGGATCCTGACCCTCCAGGCACCCACCCTCACCGCCCTCCGAATCACTCCCCCCCTTTGGACTCGGAAATCTGTGGCATTTCAGCGATCGGATTAAACCCCGCCAACATCCCCCTCGGACGATTTGATTTCTCGCAACAGACAAGATGAGTTCCACCGCCACCCAGACGGCTCCTCCGCAGATCACGGCGGAGAATGTCGCGACCCTCTTCCCCGACGTCGACACCTCCCTGGCGCGCGAGGTTCTCCCCACGGCGAACGCCAGCAACCCCGCTGAGCGGGAAAGCGCCGACCTCGCGGGGTACGATGAGGAGCAGGTCCGTCTGATGGAGGAGGTGTGCATCGTGCTGGATGAGGATGATAAGCCTATTGGAAGCGCCAGCAAGAAGACATGTAAACGGCCCCTGTTTTGATGTGCTATCGGCGCATAACATACTGCCCAGATTTCCCCCTTTCGGAAATCCGAATAATCGACTGACCATGATTGCTAACCGCCTTCGTTACTATTGATAGGCCACCTGATGACCAACATCGACAAGGGCCTCCTCCACCGCGCCTTTTCGTGCTTCCTTTTCGACAAGAACAAGCGTCTGCTGCTCCAACAGCGCGCCTCCGAGAAGATCACCTTCCCCGACATGTGGACGAATACCTGCTGCTCCCACCCGTTGGGAATCCCCGGGGAGACTGGTTCCGAACTGGATGCAGCCGTGCTGGGCGTGAAGCGGGCCGCGCAGCGCAAGCTGGAGCAGGAGCTGGGGATCAAGCCCGAGCAGGTGCCGATCGAGAAATTCGAGTTCTTCACCCGCATCCACTACAAGGCGCCGAGTGATGGGAAATGGGGCGAGCATGAGAGTAGGTCCCTTCTCTGCCAAGAGGCGCTGCCCCAAATATAGAACCGAGGACTTACACGCTGCAGTCGACTATATCCTGTTCATCGAAGCCGACGTTGACGTCGACGTCAACCCCAACGAGGCCCGAGACACCTGCTACGTTTCGCCTGACGAGCTGAAGGCGATGTTCGAGAAGCCCGACCTGAAGTTCACGCCCTGGTTCAAGCTCATCTGCAATTCGATGCTGTTCGAATGGTGGAGCCACCTGGGAACCGCCTCTCTGGACAAATACAAGGGGGAGACCGGGATCCGTCGGATGTAAAGCGTGACTCACCATGCGGATATCGGGGAGATAATTATGCAAGATTGGGGCACTATAGCGCATTCCTGACCCCAACTAGAGATACCAATGCACAAGCCGGCCAGTATACCATGTTTCTTGAATTTCTTTCAGATAGGCTTCCAATATTAATATATGCTTAACTCGAGCGAATCATTGTCACTGCCAGTCACCAGTCCGTTCAATGTAGAGTAGGATTCCCATGGATGCTGCAAAGTAGGGCAGGAATAGAAAGCTAGAGTTCACAGTCTGCCCATACGCATATGTGGTTAACCCGTATTCGTACTGCTCTTAGCATCAGTAGCCAGGAACAAGATACAGCTCCCTAGGATAACCGCGCCGACCACGGTGAATATAACCTCCGTGACCCACCCACTCTGCACGAGCGCCGCTTTATGGCTATATTTCCTGACCGTCCGAACGTAGTTCACGAATCCGTTCACCAGACACCCTAGACTCAAGACCCAGAAGATGATCCCTAGCGGCAGCGACATGCGACGCTCGAGACTGGTCGAAACGCCGTAGAAATGGAAGGAGATGATGATCGCTATGGACACGACGCCGAGGTACATGGAGAGACGGAGCCAGGAGAGAAAGGTTCGTTCGTTGGCGCAGTGGTCGCGTGCGTCGGAGGTGGAGTTCTCGACGAGGAGGGCGCCGAGGTAGGGACGGGAGAGGAAGATGTGGTGTTTGTGTTGGAGGTGTCTGGTAGTGTCCGGGGAGGTTCGAATTAGCCTTCTGTTAGAGGTGGAGTGTCGTGGGATATACAGTTGTGTGGGCTCGATTGGCTGGTAGGTGCACGACTCACTCGTCCACTATGACTGGCTTTGAATTGGCCATGTTTATGATCGGGTTATATGGGGGTCGGGGGAGGGTTGGCTCCCCCCCTGCTGTACCGTGCTCCATGATGATGGCACGACCTGGTCTGTGGATTGTCTTGGAGGGTAATCGGAGCAATGGATATGCCCATCTACGGTCAGCATATCATGAAGGTGTGCATATCGCTCGCAGCGACCACCATGAAGAGTTGTCAGTTGTGAGCAGTTCCAGCATTGTTCATGTTCGTCTTTCGATCGGGGATCCGATGACATTCCACGTGACGGCCTAGTCCTGATCGGGCATGATGTCATCTGCCAGCAATGAGCAGACATGTGACCCGCATGCCTCTATTGACATGTTGACTGACATATTGCCATGGTTAACGAATTAATCCCAATCTTGTCTTTCTCCCATTGGTCTTTTATACTAACTCTGAACGTCGACTTGTTTGTGCCGCTTCTAAGGATCAGCACCTCCACTACCGGAGCACACCTTATGGGTCATCAAGAACCAAGACATCCAAGCGCCAAATCTGGTTGGCTCAAGCGGGTCGGTCAAGGATGCGGGGCTGTGGACTCGCTGGTGTTCCGTCGATGCTTCTTATGGCTGAGCGATCCGAGAGCAGCGTCGAGGGAAAAAGCAATTGATAAGGGTTTCGTATGACTGATTCGAATCCCAGAGGGAAGACAGGAAACCAGCCGATACGCCCTTCCATGAGCCTGCATTGGTACTAATACCCGAGAGCTAATGTATTGTCGGATCACTTGGTTCTGAGTGGCAGACGAGGTGGATCCGACCATGGAAAGAGCCATAACAACTTTTGGATTGAAAGTCCATTTTTCTTGCCACAAATTCCGCCGTTTTTTCGGTAATGCGATTACACCATCTGTTAGCTCCTCACTTAGCTTCTGCTAGTGACTGAGCTGACTGACTCTTGCTACCACTTCCGCTTCTTGTGACTCTTCCCTCCCGCCACGCCCTTTCTCGTCAGCTCCCTTACGTCCCGCCTGAAGACTCTTCGCTTCGTGTTCAGCTGGCTGTGTTGGAGACCCATTCGTTGTTCCTTTCAGTGAGGATGTGGGCAGGGTTTAGCGCATAAGCTTCTTATCCCCGTGTAATTTACTAGATCTCCGCACCTCGCACCCTCCACTTCCGCATCTCGTCATGGTCCGCGATGGGAACGGCCGCCGCGCGCTCAGCCCGACCGGGGAGCACGGCATACACGGTCGCGGCATATCGAGTTCGCCTCTCGTGGAAGCTGCAATCGCTCGCGATCTAGAGAGCTACGCAGACGATGAAGGCTCCCTTCTTACTTCCGACGACGAAGCGTCCGAGACCTCGACCATTCGTGCCATGGGCAGTCAACCGGGAACGAACCCACACTCTCTGGCTGGCTCCTACCAACGCCCGAGCTTCTTCACGACCGTCTCGCATTCGACCGTTGTCCCGCACCACCGGGATCTAGAAAACCGATTGACACGAAGAGAGCGTAAACAAGCCATTGAGGATGAGAGAAACCTCTTGAGTGATAATCGTGTTTTGAAACAGGATAAATGGCGGCGCAGGACGTCTGGTGCGCAGGCTCCCGGGGAGACTACGTCTTTGCTAGGAGGTGGGAGACGCCAGTCGGAGTATGAAGTTGCAGACCCGGAGGAGATCGATCGCAAGTGGGAGGAGGCAGTGATTGCCGGGTTGATTCAGACGACGTGGAAGCGCGAAGCGCTCGTCATTGGTAGAAATGCCGCGCCGCTGGTCCTTACGTTTCTGCTGCAGTATTCTTTGACCGTGGCTAGCATCTTCACGCTGGGTCATCTCGGGAAAGCGGAATTGGGGGCTGTCAGTCTGGCAAGTATGACTGCGAATATCACCGGCTATGCAGGTATGTGTACAGAGTGTGGCCCAGATCAATACCCCACGGCGATACTAACATGCACGGTTAGTCTACCAAGGCTTGGCGACCAGTCTAGACACCCTGTGTGCACAAGCGTATGGGTCTGGGCGAAGGAAGCTTGTGGGCCTGCAAATGCAAAAAATGGTTTATTTTCTCTGGGTTATCACCATCCCAATCGGCGTCTTGTGGTACTTCGCCGACAGGGTCCTTCTCATGATCGTGCCGGAGAAAGAGGTTGCCGTTCTTGCGGGGCTGTACCTCAAAGTCGTCATCTTCGGTGCGCCGGGATATGCTTGCTTCGAGAGTGGGAAGCGTTACGTCCAGGCGCAGGGCCTCTTTTCGGCCTCTCTCTACGTCCTTCTCATTTGTGCGCCGCTCAATGCGTTTATGAATTGGTTGTTTGTTTGGGTATGTTGTGTTCCGGCTTTTTTTTTACTATAATTTTCTGACCAGGTCTCTTTCGCAGCAATTTGGCTGGGGTTTTGTCGGTGCTCCGATCGCGGTTGCCATCACCGAAAACATCATGCCGATGCTTCTATTCCTCTATGTGTACTTCATCGATGGGGCAGAGTGTTGGAACGGTGTGACGACCAGGGCGCTGCGGAACTGGGGCCCGATGATCCGGCTTGCGCTACCTGGGTTGGTAATGGTAGAGGCCGAATGCTTGGCTTTCGAAGTCCTGACTCTAGGCTCGTCCTACCTCGGCACGACTCATCTCGCTGCGCAGTCGATCCTGTCTACGATTTCAAGCATCACTTTTCAAATCCCATTCCCCCTTTCGATCTCCGGCAGCACGCGCGTCGCCAATCTAATCGGAGCGACGCTCGTCGGGGCCGCCAAAACATCCGCCAAGGTGACCATGGGCGGCGCAGTGATCGTCGGCCTGCTGAATATGCTACTCCTCTCCTGCCTCCGCAACTACATCCCAAGGCTCTTTACCTCCGAGGAAGAAGTCATCGTCCTCGTTGCTCAGACCCTGCCACTGTGCGCAGCATTCCAGCTCTTCGATGCCCTCGCGACGAACTGCAACGGTATCCTGCGAGGCATCGGACGCCAAGAGATAGGGGGGTACGTCCAGCTGTTCTGCTACTACGTGATCGCGATGCCTATCAGTTTCGGGACTACGTTCGCGCTCGGATGGGACCTGTTCGGTCTGTGGTCCGGTGTCGCGATTGCCCTCTTCCTCGTGTCTGTTATCGAGGCCGTGTTCCTTCAGCGCACAGACTGGGAGCGGTCGGTCGAGGACGCACTTCACCGGAATGCAATGTCATAATGGTGGATCCTCCCGCCTACTCGCTGGTGTGGGGTTGATTTCTAGAGCTTAAAAGTTTGAAAATGTTCTTCAATATAGCGGTGCTTTTGTAATGTGACCACGATGTTACATGTCTGTTTTGAATCAGTGGCTGGATAGAGTTCTACATAGAAGTCGAAATGATATCCCGTCTTTTTTTAAGACCACGCACATATACAGCTTATCAAACTCAACCGAGGATCAGTCATACGAGCATGTAGATACTAAATTTGGTAATAATCATTATCATATGGATATGCTCTAATCACAAGCGCATAAAAACGAGCTATATCCTTTTCACCCACCCTGATGCACACACACACACTCTCTCTCTCCCACTAAAAAGAAAACAAAATCATCGACAAAAAGCGATATCCTACAATTGAAGAATAGCCCACGTCTGCTCATCAACCGTCGAGAAGATCACACCCGTACCAAGCAACTCCTCGCCAGCCCTTGCCACATCCGCCGGAGGAAGGCCCAGCTTGGACGCAATCAACTGACAATGTAAACCCTCGTTGCTCTGCGGCTCCGTCCGCAGCAGCGAGTAGACCTTCCGCGCAACAGGACTCATAGCCGGAAGCGATCGATCCGCACTGTAATCATCCGCGCCGCCCATCGACGCATCGCCGACCGCGCCCGCAATCCCTCCAGCCCCGGCAGCAGCACCGGCGGCACCGCCCGGCGGGCCACGGGTGAAAAACAGATGCACGGCCGTAGCCTCGAGCAAATGACAGTGCAGCTCGTTGATATTCTTAACAGGACGCACACAGTGCGCGCCCACAAAGCGCTTGTTACCGAACGTCTTGAGCTTGCCAAAGACCTTGGCATAGCCATTGAGCTCGATCTGGTCCTTGCCCGGCACGCCGGGGCCCTTTCCGTCGTCGGTGTCCATTGTGTCGGCGGTAGCGGAGTCGACCCACTGCTTTGCTTCGATCTCGCCTGTGCCGTCGTCGATCTTGTACGTTACGTTTGTGGTCTGCGAGCTGATGTTGCGGACTTGGCCGATGAAGACGATGCTGGAGGTGTCGGCGCCGTCGATTTGGAAGGATGCTTCGGGGAAGGGCTGCGAGGCGTCGAGGATTTGCTTGACTGTGACGGGGCGGAGGGTGTTGTTGTTCATTTCGCCCTGTTGTCATGGTTAGCCTGGATATTCTGGGGTTTGTTGGGCTGGGGAGTGATGGCTTACCTTTCCTCCTGCTGGGCTGGCGCTCATCTCTCCTGGCATGAAACCGCCGCCTCCTCCTCCTCCTCCTCCGAACGAGGAACCGCCATAGCCACTGTTATATCCACCGTCTGGGGTGATATTAGCAAATCCGTAGGATGAACGGTGCAATGCGGGGTGTGATATCCAGGGAGGATGAGCTTACCCATTTTGACTGCTAGGGTGCTAAGTATCAAGTAGAGCTCAAGAGATTGAAGATTACCAGGTGGAAGCAATCAGCTCAGTCATTTTACCGCTTCGGGACGTGTTTGAGGCAAAGACGCGTCGCGGGGGTCGATGTTTGCCTGGTTTGTCTGCCTGACGGAGCAACTTTGATCCCTCACCGCCCGGGAATTTTTCTCTGCCGACAAGAAAAAAATATCGATAATGATAAGTAGTCTCCGCTGAACAGACAACATCAGACGGTCAACGCAACCAGACCGTCATTATGCCTCGTCGCGCTGCTTCTCCGACAGCGTCGGAGAATGAATTCGATATTACCGGCGCGCTTTTCCAGCATGACAGTGATTCCGACAGCGGTGTCAAGGCACCCAGGAAGGTAGCGAGAGCTCCTCTTCCGTCGCAGACGCTGGATTTCCTCAGCGCTGCAAACGACATAGCGGACCCCGACGATGATGAAGCTTTTATTGCTGAGAAGCAGGCGTCGGCAAACCGAAAGGGAGCCAATCTCAAGGGAAGAACGGTCAAGAAGGGTGGTGGATTCCAGGCGATGGGCTTGAACGCGCACCTCCTCAAAGCGATCACCCGGAAAGGATTCTCGGTCCCGACGCCCATTCAGCGCAAGACGATCCCCGTGATTATGGATGACCAGGATGTGGTTGGCATGGCGCGGACGGGATCCGGAAAGACGGCTGCCTTTGTGATCCCCATGATCCAGAAGCTGAGGAGCCACAGCAGCACTGTCGGTGCGCGCGGTCTGATCATGTCGCCATCGCGAGAACTAGCGCTACAGACGCTCAAAGTCGTCAAGGAGTTGGGTAAAGGCACGGACTTGAAGTCCGTTCTCCTGGTTGGTGGTGACAGTCTCGAGGAACAGTTCGGCATGATGGCCAGCAACCCGGACATTGTCATCGCTACGCCCGGTCGATTCCTGCACTTGAAGGTGGAGATGGGTCTGGATTTGTCCAGCATTCGCTATGTCGTGTTCGACGAGGCTGATCGACTTTTCGAAATGGGTTTCGCCGAGCAGCTGACGGAGATTTTGCACGGCCTTCCGTCCCATCGACAGACTCTGCTGTTCTCCGCTACGCTGCCGAAATCGCTCGTCGAATTCGCCCGCGCTGGTTTACAAGATCCGACACTCATTCGACTGGACACCGAGAGCAAGATCTCGCCCGACCTCGAGAACGCCTTCTTCGCCGTCAAATCGGCCGACAAAGAAGGAGCGCTTCTGTATATTCTCCACGAAGTGATCAAAATGCCCACGGGCCCCACCGAGGCCGCGGAGAGGAAGAAGGAGATGTACAACGAGCCCAGGAACTTCAAAAAGCGCAAGAGGAATGAGATGGACAAGTCCGTGAATACGAAGGAGTCGCCGACCAAATTCTCGACGATCGTTTTCTGCGCTACGAAACATCATGTCGACTATCTGTACGCCCTACTCTGCGAAGCCGGGTTCGCAACATCCTACGCCTACGGCTCTCTGGATCAGACGGCGCGCAAGTTCCAAGTCCAGAATTTCCGAATGGGCATCTCGAATATCTTGGTGGTCACGGACGTCGCAGCCCGCGGTATCGATATTCCCATTCTCGCCAACGTCATCAACTACGATTTCCCGTCGCAGCCCAAAATTTTCATCCATCGTGTCGGTCGAACGGCGCGAGCGGGCCAGAAGGGCTGGAGTTACAGTCTGATCCGGGACGCCGACGCACCGTATCTCCTAGATCTACAGCTGTTCCTCGGACGCAGGCTGGTCCTCGGCCGCGAGCACGGCAACAACGTCAACTTTGCCGAAGACGTCGTCGTTGGCGGCATGCCAAGAGACTCGCTGGCTCAGAACTGCGAGTGGGTGACCAAGGTTCTAGACGAAGACGGCGACATTGCGCTACAGCGCACGGTCGCCACAAAAGGTGAGAAGCTGTACATGCGCACGCGCAACGCGGCCTCGCTGGAAAGTGCGAAGCGCGCCAAGCAGATCGTGTCCTCGGACGACTTTACGAGCGTGCATCCCCTCTTCAACGACGAGTCGAGCCACATGGAGGTAGAGCGGGAGAAGATGCTCGCCGTGATCGGCGGCTTCCGGCCGCAGGAGACAGTCTTCGAGGTGAACAACCGACGCAGCGGCAAGAATGCCAGCGACGAGGCCACCGATACGATCAAGCGTGTGCGCAACACGCTCGACGCGAAGAAGCAAAAAGCCCAGGCGAAGAACAACAAGCCCTCGGAGTTCCTCGAGGACGGCAGCCACGTGGGTACGGGCACCGGCAAAGATGACGCGGCCGGCGAGCTCTCGGACGAAAAGGATGACGACGACGCGGCCGGCGATGCAGCCGACGACATGTCGCTTGCCTCGGAGACCGACCTGGAGGTCACGTTCGGGTCCTACAACCAGAACAAGAAATCCAAGCAAGACTCGGCGGCTGCCTTCCAGAACCCGGAGTATTTCATGTCGTACAAGCCCAGCAACAACGACCTGGCGGAGGACAAGGGCTACGGTGTACACTCGGGCGCGAACGTTAACTTCACACAGGCGTCGCGCGGCGCGACGATGGATCTGCAGGGCGACGAAGGCGGGCGCGGATTCGCCGAGCCGCGCACGATGAAGCGCTGGGACAAGCGACACAAGAAGTACGTGTCGCGGGAGAACGACGAGGACGGATCCAAGGGCGCACGACTGGTGCGCGGCGAGAGCGGCGTGAAGATCGCGGCCAGTTTCCGCAGCGGGCGGTTTGACCGGTGGAGGCACGGGAAGCGCATCGGCCGTCTGCCTCGCGTCGGTGAGGCGGAGGCGCCGGGGCTTGCGGCGAACTTCAACAACAACTCGATGGGCGGACGGCGGTTCCGGCACCAGAAGGATCAGGCGCCCAAGAAGGCGGATCCGCTGCGCGAGGACTTCCACAAGATGAAGAAGAGGGGCGAGGCGGCCAAGGAGCGACAGCTGGGCAAGGCTGGCGGTGCGGCTGCGGGTGGGAAGAGCGAACTGAAGGGGACCGATGATATTCGATTAGCGCGGAAGATGCAGCAGCAGCGGAGGGATAAAAATGCCCGGCCCTCGAGAAAGAGGTGATTGAAGCAAACAGTTGTGGATATTAATGATACCTTGACTTTGTACAGTAATGCTTCTCCAAAGTCTCATCTAATACTATCAACTATCAACCACATCCATACATAACATAGTCTATACAGACCATCAAAACTCCCTCCAAACCACCACTCAGCCGCTTGAGGGCCAGTCACAAGACAACACCAGAAAAGAAGCGCAAAGTAAACAAAGTAGATGAAATAAAAGCCGCGCAACTCAGCCCAACACCCAAGATTCTCCCCGTCATCAGAGTGTCCCTAATTGGCCGCGAGCAGGTCCATCGGAGTCAATAAAAGACATGTCACATCCCCATCACATCAACCACAGCCACAGAGGATGTTTGGTTCTTATTTCCTTTTTATTTCTTCTTTATTTCTCTACGATCATGATTATGCAACGAAAATTATATTATAATATATTATCTTTCTTGACTAGGTTAGTCTGGTCAGTTATGGATAGGATCGCAGCGTATAGTACCAAGCGCATCTTATCGGTATGTGTAAGTTTTCAAGTATAGTGCATGCACATACATATGCATACATTAGGGTAAATCCTCAACGACCTACGCGCAGAATAGTAAATGCAAGTGCATAAACACTACTAACCGAGAGTAGTCCGATGCGAGATGGACATACTCCATATATCGGTGCATTTTCTATGTCTTGTCCAGGTGTGTTGGTTTCTTCGGGTTTGACCGACATCCTATTCGAGTAAGTATATATTTATTTACCTTCCGGCTGGAGGGAGGGAGTTTGTTGTTGAGATTTGATAGAAGTCTATCTACATACGTCAGCTGCGTCTGCGGCGTTCTATTACATGGTTTTGCTATGATGGACTTGGGACCAGAGCCTTGCAATGACCACACCAGAATTTTTATTCCTTTTTTTCCCTCCCTGCGAATAGACTTTAATAATGATAGAGAATACGATCTCAAGTATATAACTCGTACCCAGGTAAAAATCATAAATATCTAGTCTCATCTCCCCATTTCATACCAGAGCAAAAGCAAACCACAGACAACCAAGGCATGGCGAAATCACCCAACAGGATTGAGTTGCATGAACCCTCTTCCTTTTTCTTTTTCTTTTTCTTTTTCTTTCATCTTCAGACCCAATCAATCCATTCAACAGGACAAAAGGAGGAAGAAGGAAAAAGAGCAGAGCAGGGAAAATGTTTGCCTTGTTGGCGTCATGCAATGCATGCACAGGCAGGCAGACAGGGTGGATTCGAATTAGCCCAATCCAATCATCCACTCAGTCAAAAGACTCAAGCTTGTTGATAGTATGGAATAGTCATCGGAACCACTGGATTGCTTGCTATACGAGGAATTGGTTGGTAGGGTTGGTCTAATATTGCTACTACTGGGACTCCGTACTTATTGACTGGTTCGAGGGGCAGTGTCGAGAGAGAAGTCAGATGGGTCCACTTTGGGAGGGAATTCTCCAGGGTATGGATGAGATAGGCAATGGACGATGCAGGTGATAATGAATAATGGAAATTTCATAGAAACATGAATGAATAGTGAGAAAGTGAGATCATGGAATAGTCTCGAAGGGGATTCATCGTCCTGTCCGATTTTCTGCCTGGTATAGATATCTATTCGCGAGAAATGGGCCATAAATAGCACTCAACCTACTGTGTATAACAGATAGAAGTGATCACAGCAAAGATAGACTCAAACAAGAATAGAACAATCCATCTCACCGACATTTTGTCCGAGATGATCTCCCAATTCGGAAAACTCGCCTTCTCCCCATCTGTCACTATCCCCGTGACCGGTCACGTACACATACACACACACATAGACCCATCTGTCGAATAATTCCTCCCACCGACTGACGGACACGGTCTGACCCATCTCTCTGGTACTCGGGATCCAGCCATGTGGAGCACCGAGGAGAGGTTTCCGAGGACCGACCGCCGCGGTCACTAGTCCGGGCCTATTCCTCGACAGACAGGGTAAATCCCTGCTTGGTTATTTTTTTCCCTGCTGGCCAATCTGGCAATAAATGATGCTAGTTGTTAATAATTCACGGCGCTATAGCCAGCATGTTCTGCCGATCTGGACATCCACTATCGAAGAATCGCAGTTTGGGTACTTGGCATGGATTTCCTACTACGGAGCAACTGGATATTTATTGACTGCAGGTGGGAGCTGCTGATGCAGGGAGAGTCACGAGGAGTGTGGCGCAATCTGCGTGACTTGGTGGATGGTGATTTTCTGGTGTACCGGTGTGGTCTCCACAGTGTGAACGCAGGCAAAGACACAAGAGAGGAAGAGAGAATGGTACCTTCCAGTCTAGCAGATCACAGAAATGCGCTGGCGAGCTGCTCAGCTGGCAGACAGAGTATACCATCCCTTACTTGAGCCGACATCGACTTCAGCCACAGTACTTTCACTCCGGGTATACGTGCATTCCACCTGGCAAGGACGCGACGACGGCGCATACGAAGCGAGGCCCAGCCACAGCCACAGGAGACAACAAAGACTACAAAGAAACCAGCTCCAAAGTCAAAGCCACGGCGCGCATTGCACGGCAAGTGGAGGAACACGGAAAGAAGCCTGGATTGGCTCACAATTGTTGAAATCCCCGGTGGTCATGCGAGATCGCATCGCCGTTGGGCGCAATATCGCCCGCTTTGACTGGTGATTTTCCTGGTATCGGTCTGCGGATTGCGTTGCCATTTCTGTGTTGCATGTACGGAATATGTGTGCCTACTTATCTGTTTGGATGGATTGTGGCTCAGCTGCAATGGGGAGCACACCATCAGGACAAGCTAGGCCAGAAACTGATGTACTATTTCTCTTCATTAGGGAATCCCAGGCAGCCTGACCGGAGAGTGCGAGGCTCCGTGAGTGACTGAATGATGCACGAGAACTATTAGCTTTGCTGGAACGCATTGACACTTCGATAAGTGATACTCTCTTCTACCTGTCTATCTACCTAATGGGGTGGTGGTACCGGAAAATTCAACAGACCAGACTCCGCAGGGAAAGACACAAAGGCGAAAGGCAAGAAAGAAGTACAACATTGTCCCGTGAAAGGAAAGAAAGAGGATATACCCGACAGCCACATGTATGGCAAAGCAATAGCAACAGCTTTTCACCCGCGAGCACAAACAACGGATATTCTTCCAACGGAAACAATGCAAGAATCATCCCCTTTCCCGTCCGGAGGATTATCTATCCCCGTGTAGCCTCCACGCCCTTTCTACCTTACCATTCGCTACTATCTGCCTGGGGCGAAAAAAGGCAGATAAAGCCGCGAAAATCAACGGACGTATTACAGCGATGGGACCGCCCCCCTCTGTCTCCCTAAACTGAAAAAAGCCATGGCCAGGCCAGGCACGGCGATTTTCCAACCCTTGGATTCCTCCCGCGTTTTTGTTCCGGGGGCTGGGGTGAGGCGTGTCAGGTGGATCTGTATTGACAAGGTATTTTGAAAAGAGAAATTAAAAATTTATATATATATAAGATAAAGTAAGGGAAAATAAAACAGAGAATAAAATAGTTCAATTGGGTTGAATTGTTTGGGGGAAAAGAGTGACAAATACCGACGCCGATCCTTACCTGGGTCAGGGCTGCGTGTTCCCCAATTGGGATGGGATGAGACGGGGTTCAAGAGTGGTTGAGGAGGAAGAGGGGAAAGGAGGGGGATGGCGATCATCCGTGGATTTTCAATCCTGTACAAAGGATTCAGTAGATTTTGGGGGGGGAAGCCCCATCGAATGACTGCCAAAAGGCCACGGACTGCATGGTTGACTCCGTTCTTGGATAGCTTAGATATCCTATTACGGGAAGGTCGGATACAAGACTGGCTCCTACTTACCCCCTAGTAATGTCACTAAGAACTAGTCGTTCTTTAGGAGGATTGTCCCGGCCGTGTGACAACGATGTAGATCAGTAAGATCAATTAGGGGAGGGTATATAACGTGGTAGACCGATGTACAGTATGTGGTATGTACGATGGGTGGATTGGGATCTTGATAGAGGTATGATGTCCGATGTTCATGTCCAATGTCGATAGATCACCCCGATACAGGAGCTGAAATGGATTTCCAGCTCATGATAGGATTAAGTGAAGGTGTTATTCGAGAGAAAACCCGTCGAACTGGGTGACACGACCATTCCACCATATGGCCTTGCAGGGGGTGGAGGTCATCGAATCGATCTTGGGGACGTGAGGTATCAATCTGCAGTACATTGTTTTTTTCCCTTTCAATTATTTTCAGCATGCCCATTATTTAATCCTTAATGATCATTTATCTTATCCTTTTTCATTCCGTCATTGTCTAAAACCAACCTCTGATACAGCGTATTCCCAACAAAGTTAGGGCTAAACCGGTGGTTCGAACTATTGAGCGCGACCAACCCAACTAACCGGTAGATCGTGCTGGCCATGGGGAAACTAACCTTCACACCTTCCCGCCTCCGTCCTGCATGAACGCTTACCAGGAGGGGAATCTCCTAATTAGACTCTGTAGATTTGATTTGATCCTTTGTGGTCATGATCATAATCATGATCCCCCCCTTGCCGTCAACTCCCCGCGTGCTGCGCCGGCTCAAGGTTCCACAGAATCGGCTTCCTTCGGGGTCTTCCCTCATTTTCCAAGTGTCTTAAACAACTGAGTCTATGGTGAAAATAATTATAATAATTGTGATTGTGATTCTCAACCTAAATGCCACCATCCACTTAGCACTCCCCTTGGCAAAGTAAGAACTAACCACCCCCCGGCAAGACAGCCGTCAAATCCGGCCCCTAAGACTAGAGTCAAAAATCCCCGAAGTGGCACCGCCAAGGGTCGAGTCCCATGGGAGGAGTGGACTGACCATCATACATGCATGCAGACCACTCGAACAGACCAAGGACTAAATCAGCGTAGACTAAAACAGCGTGGCAGGGGGATCATGCGATGATCATTCAATCAGGTAGTTACCACACTTACCAGACAATCATCTGGAAGATGTTAATTATTACTAGAATAATTTGTAAAATGATTAATGATCAAAATAAATGAATAATCATGATAGCCCAGTAAATAATCATAAGAGAAGTAATAAATAAACAATGGGAATGAATGAACCGTTGTCAGCCAAGCAATTATCTCGAGTTTGATCAGAGGGATCTTCATGACATGCCCTGTGCTGGGCGATCCCTTATCAAGAGACTAGGACTGGGAACTCTACTCCGTACTCCGTAGTGTAATTGATACCTACCTAGTCTACCTAATAGGGTGCTCATGATGTAAGAAATGCTCCTAACTGTCTATCCACAACTCAGGTGACCACTTGCTCTAATTTCCTGGTTTAAAGTAGTCACAAAGAAGTTATTAGTTTCAAGGTGGTAGGAGTATCCACCAGACAGATCCATGGTGGATGATTGATTGATTGATTGATTGATTGCAGCTGCAGCCACATCGGTGAATAATTGAAAGATAGATGAAATAAACCAGATCCAGTAGACTAAATGAAGAAGAAAGGTTTCTCCCAGCACCAGTCCAACCCCCAGCTATTCGGGTGCATATCCATCTGTGGGATTCTGTAGGATGTCCAGATCATGAGGGGGGTGGAGTGCTGGCATGACCAGTGAGGTGACCTCCTCTGTAGTAGGTGCTTTGGTGCTAGGTAAAGGTACAGGCTAGATGAGTATGACGATCATTAACGGTCGAAATCAATAGATCTCAGGCTAACGAGACGCCAAAGCTGCCTGACTGCATGTGCATACCCCTTTTTTCCTCCCTCAGGAAAATAAGAAGGGATGTCATATTCGATAGTATTCTGAAATAAATGAATAGCACAGCACCGATATAGATTTTTATTACGAGAATAAAATAGACAATAAACAAATAAACAAGGCAGGGGGAAAACATGGAAAATAGGAGATCAATCCCGGCCACCTTCAGGTGTTCGTACATTATACGACTCCGAGTGGGCCAAGGCTACGACGGAGAATTCATTCACCAATTGCTTGGACTCCTATCTGGGTGCTCCTACCAGTCTGTTTCAGCATTGTCGACGACTATCATACTTAAGTACTAGCCTGTCAAGAAACTAGAAAGGGTGCTGGAGTCCCTACATGATACTAGTCCGAGGGGTAGTCTTAGTGGCTAGCCCTAATTTAGACTAATCCGGGAAAAAAAAAAAGAAAAGAAAAAGAAAGAAAAATGTGGACATGATCCGGGAGTCGCGACTAGTCCAGAACGACGGCGTCCACGTTAAATCCAGATCCCCGAAAGCATTGATAGTAAAAAACATGGCCAGGAGAAAGTAGGGAGAAGAAGATCATTATGTCCGATCACATCAGCCAATTCCCCGGGCTTTTCCGGCCGTGCGTTGTGACAGGTTGATACCACAATACAATCTACAATATATCGTTATCGTACAGTAATACAGTAGACAGGAGAAAAACTAGATAATAGATGATATTGAATAGGATAAATCCCGTCAATGATTCAATTCCCTCGTCAAGAGACATTTCACGTCAATCTATGAACCCTTGACTTAGAATACACACGACAAGACTATAAACTAGTTGAACGGTCCATCCAGGTCAACCCAAGAGTTCAAGACCCCAAGCAAGACCCCTAAAAAAGGATCTCCTCATGCGGTAGTGCATGTCAAACTGATGGCTCCACCCTATGAAAAGGTCGCCGCCCCATCCCTGTCAACAGCACTATTGCCAATGGATGCTGCGGTCGCGTCGATCCTCACCTTGCTTCTCATTATTATTATTATTATTATTATTACACTTCTT